TCTATAGTCTAGTCTATAGTCTAGTCTATAGTCTAGTCTATAGTCTAGTCTATAGTCTAGTCTAGTCTAGTCTATAGTCAGTATAGTCTATAGCTAGTAGTCTAGTCTAAGTCTAGTCTATAGTCTAGTCTATAGTCTAGTCCTATAGTCTAGTCTATAGTCTAGTCTTAGTCTAGTCTATAGTCTAGTCTATAGTAGTCTAGTCTATAGTCTAGTCTATAGTCTAGTCTATAGTCTAGTCTATAGTCTAGTCTATAGTCTAGTCTATAGTCTAGTCTATAGTCTAGTCTATAGTCTAGTCTATAGTCTAGTCTATAGTCTAGTCTATAGTCTAGTCTATAGTCTAGTCTATAGTCTAGTCTATAGTCTAGATCTATAGTCTAGTCTATAGTCTAGTCTATAGTCTAGTCTATAGTCTAGTCTATAGTCTAGTACTATAGTCTAGTCTATAGTCTATAGTCTAGTCTATAGTCTAGTCTATAGTCTAGTCTATAGTCTAGTCTATAGTCTAGTCTATAGTCTAGTCTATAGTCTAGTCTATAGTCTAGTCTATAGTCTAGTCTATAGTCTAGTCTATAGTCTAGTCTAGTCTAGTCTATAGTCTAGTCTATAGTCTAGTCTATAGTCTAGTCTATAGTCTAGTCTATAGTCTAGTCTATAGTCTAGTCTATAGTCTAGTCTATAGTCTAGTCTATAGTCTAGTCTAGTCTAGTCTAGTCTAGTCTATAGTCTAGTCTATAGTCTAGTCTATAGTCTAGTCTATAGTCTAGTCTATAGTCTAGTCTATAGTCTAGTCTATAGTCTAGTCTATAGTCCTATAGTCTAGTCTAGTCTAGTCTATAGTCTAGTCTATAGTCTAGTCTATAGTCTAGTCTATAGTCTAGTCTATAGTCTAGTCTATAGTCTAGTCTATAGTCTAGTCTATAGTCTAGTCTATAGTCTAGTCTATAGTCTAGTCTATAGTCTAGTCTATAGTCTAGTCTATAGTCTAGTCTATAGTCTAGTCTATAGTCTAGTCTATAGTCTAGTCTATAGTCTAGTCTATAGTCTAGTCTATAGTCTAGTCTATAGTCTAGTCTATAGTCTAGTCTATAGTCTAGTCTATAGTCTAGTCTATAGTCTAGTCTATAGTCTAGTCTATAGTCTAGTCTATAGTCTAGTCTATAGTCTAGTCTATAGTCTAGTCTATAGTCTAGTCTATAGTCTAGTCTATAGTCTAGTCTATAGTCTAGTCTCTAGTCTAGTCTATAGTCTAGTCTATAGTCTAGTCTATAGTCTAGTCTATAGTCTAGTCTATAGTCTAGTCTATAGTCTAGGCTATAGTCTAGTCTATAGTCTAGTCTATAGTCTAGTCTATAGTCTAGTCTATAGTCTAATCTATAGTCTAGTCTATAGTCTAGTTTTAGTCCTGGTCCATAAACCCTATAAAATATTCCCGTTCATTGAGAATATTTAGTATTTCGGAAATGTTTTCAATTGCATGGTTTTAAATATAGAATGACTTCTAACATGATGTTTAATTTTATGATCGTGAGAGCTTTCATGTTCATTTCTCGTCAAGGTAGCGAAAAGGTTTTTTTTATCAAGTATTGCCGACATGTGCTTAAAGAGTTATGTTTCCAAATTTTTTTGCGATTGCATAGGAGTGAGTTGAGTATGTGAGCTAAGTTTTCGGGAAAATATGTGAAAGTTAGACTTCTTCGATGTTGTTGCGGAATGCGTTACCCACATGAAATATGACCTGAACTCTTTGCGAATGTACTGTGAATTTGGATCTTAAATTTGAATTTTAAAATACCTACGAATTATTTCACTGCGTGGTTTTGACTATTTACGCAAAACGCAATGAATTTTCTGATGTTGATTTAATAATATTGGACAACAAAATGAAGTTAAAATCTGTGTATCACGTCGGAAATGTGACCTAACTTCATATTCCGGAATACCAGTATCAGTATTTAATTCTAAGGCAAATCATTATCCGTCTGATATAAAAACCAGAGACAGTAATTGTTATTATTTTTATTTAAAAAATTAAAATTACAAATTTTATTTGGTTTGTATTTCATTTCTTTTGATTTGAATTTTTTATATTTTCCGTAAAAATTACTGAGAACTTTTTCAAATAAAAATCAATAATAAAAAACACAAATAATTTTTAAACCATAAGGCACAAATAAAAATCAGGCCATGATTTTTATTTTTTAAAATTAATTATAAAACTCATTATGCGATATTTACCTTTAAAACACATTAAAAATGATCGGGTTTAAACAGAGATTAATAGAAAATTGGTAAAATTTCCTTACCACTGATATCATCAACCAAATTTGCAGAAATTAGATTCGAAAATTGGAAAATTAATATTTTTTAGGTGATTTTTATTCCTTGCTTTGAAAAATAAAAATCATTGATTGATTTCTATTTTTTGTTTGAATAAATAAAAATTACTGAATGAGTATTATTAAAAACAACATAAATATTTTTTTTATTGAAACAAATAGAATAAAAATCAAAAATAATTTTTATTTTAAATTTTTATTATAAAAATCAAGAAAAAAAGTTTATTGAAGAAATCGATTAAAAAAGGTCTGGGAAATATTTTGGTACATTCAAAACATTTCTAGGACGATTCTTTCATACTGATTTTTTTAAGCAAAAATTTCATAGATAATAATTATTTTCTGTCTCTGATAAAAACATTTATTTCGATACATATACATTTATAAAAATTACAAATCACGTAATACTTTACTTTATAAAACTGAAACAATAAATTTGTAGGGCCTAGCTTCATCCTGATAAACGACCGAAACAATAAAATTCAAAAAGTCACCAACAAATCTGGGATTATTGAATAAAAATTGTGTATTTTAGTATTTACGAAAAATTTGGAGATATTTTTAATATTTTCTAACATATAGAGAATATTTTTTATTCATGATTTTTTTCGTTCGTCTTCGCGGACCCCCTAGGATTTTGCTACGGACCACTAGGGGTCCGCGGACCCCCTTTTGGGAACCGTTGGTCTAGTCTATAGTCTAGTCTATAGTCTAGTCTATAGTCTAGTCTATAGTCTAGTCTATAGTCTAGTCTATAGTCTAGTCTATAGTCTAGTCTATAGTCTAGTCTATAGTCTAGTCTATAGTCTAGTCTATAGTCTAGTCTATAGTCTAGTCTATAGTCTAGTCTATAGTCTAGTCTATAGTCTAGTCTATAGTCTAGTCTATAGTCTAGTCTATAGTCTAGTCTATAGTCTAGTCTATAGTCTAGTCTATAGTCTAGTCTATAGTCTAGTCTATAGTCTAGTCTATAGTCTAGTCTATAGTCTAGTCTATAGTCTAGTCTATAGTCTAGTCTATAGTCTAGTCTATAGTCTAGTCTATAGTCTAGTCTATAGTCTAGTCTATAGTAGTCTATAGTCTAGTCTATAGTCTAGTCTATAGTCTAGTCTATAGTCTAGTCTATAGTCTAGTCTATAGTCTAGTCTATAGTCTAGTCTATAGTCTAGTCTATAGTCTAGTCTATAGTCTAGTCTATAGTCTAGTCTATAGTCTAGTCTATAGTCATAGTCTAGTCTAGTCTATAGTCTAGTCTATAGTCTAGTCTATAGTCTAGTCTATAGTCTAGTCTATAGTCTAGTCTATAGTCTAGTCTATAGTCTAGTCTATAGTCTAGTCTAGTCTATAGTCTAGTCTATAGTCTAGTCTAATAGTCTAGTCTATAGTCTAGTCTATAGTCTAGTCTATAGTCTAGTCTATAGTCTAGTCTAGTCTAGTCTAGTCTAGTCTATAGTCTAGTCTATAGTCTATCTATAGTCTAGTCTATAGTCTAGTCTAGTCAGTCTATATCTATAGTCTAGTCTATAGTCTAGTCTAGTCTAGTCTAGTCTATAGTCTAGTCTAGTCTAGGCTATAGTCTAGTCTATAGTCTAGTCTATTAGTCTAGTCTATAGTCTAGTCTCATAGTCTAGTCTATAGTCTAGTCTATAGTCTAGTCTATAGGTCCTAGTCTTTCTATAGTCTAGTCTATAGTCTAGTCTATCGTCTAGTCTATAGTCTAGTCTATAGTCTAGTCTATCGTTCTAGTCTATAGTCTAGTCTATATTCTAGTCTATAGTCGTAGTCTATAGTTCTTAGTCTATAGTCTAGTCTATAGTCTTAGTCTATAGTCTAGTCTATAGTCTAGTCTATAGTCTAGTCTAGTAGTCTAAGTCTATAGTCTCGTTCTATCGTGTCTAGTCTATAGTCTAGTCTATAGTCTAGTCTATAGTCTAGTCTATAGTCTAGGTCTATAGTCTAGTCTATAGTCTAGCTCCTATCGTCTAGTCGATAGTCTAGTCTATAGTCTATTCTATAGTCTAGTCTATCGTCTTGTCTATAGTCTAGTTCTATAAGTTTTAGTCTATAGTCTAGTCTTATAGTCTAGTCTATAGTCTGGTCTATAGTCTAGTCTATAGTCTAGTCTATAGTCTAGTCTATAGTGTAGTCTATAGTGTAGTCTATAGTCTAGTCTATAGTCTAGTCTTTAGTCTGCTCTATAGTCTAGTTTATAGTCTAGTCTATAGTCTGCTCTATAGTCTAGTCTATGTAATCTCTATTCTATTCTATAATTTATGTTAGACTCTATCTAATCTCTATTCTATTCTATAATTTATTTTATACTCTAGTCTATAGTCTAGAATACAGTCCAAACTAAAGTCTGATTTACAAAATTAATAATAATATTAAGATAATTAGGGTTTATTGTCTGGACAACCGTATCCCTTGTATATGGTCAGGTTGGCTGGCTAATTTATAGTTAAATCAGCAATCTGGTAAAAATGGTGTAATTCATTAGCATTAAAAAACACAAGCTGTTGTAAAATTTTCCCCAAAAAGAAAATCAATAGTATATTGTATCCCTTTCTCCTGGACAATATTACTGACAAAAAATAAAGAACAACAAAAAAAATCAACAGGAGAAAAAAACTTAATATTAATAAACAAAACTGAACTTACCTGTATAATGGTATGCCGGCATTATCACGAAACCATAGGACCATATAAACATCATCCAATGGTGCCGATATGGGGCATGGTAGTGACACTGATTTACCCTCTACAGCTTCAATATCTTTTGTTTTTACTATTGAAAAGAATAATACATATACACATAGTGGACAGGGACAATCAGCCAGTCAGCCGCAGGGTGGCATAATAATAATGTTGTAAATGACAAGCAGCACAGAAGAAGGAATGATAGGAGCAGGAGTTAGTGTTGATAACAGCAAAAACATCAGCATCAGCAATATCATATCGAGTTTTTAATATGAAAATACCAGCAGGTGTAGTAAATTTCAAACAACAGCAACAGGAAATAGCAGTTTATAGTTTAAGGTGGTGATGGTGTGTGTTGCACAAATAACAAAACCATACGTATTATTAATATTATTGTCATTTAGTTTGTTATTAAAGTTGTTATATACAGTATTCATAGAAAAAAACAGCCAGCAGTTTTATGGCGAATTATTATCAATAACATCAGCAGCAATATAATTATTGTCAACAGCAATATCATCATTATCATCAGCGAGGACATTATTGGAAAATAACAACAACAACAACAACATATTTATAAGCATTGTTATTCAAAATAATGAATCAATGAATTTAAAGTTTTTTTGTTCAATTTAAAAATAAATTTAATTAAGGCCATTGAAAATAGTTTTAAGGGAAATTATACGTTTTAATTTTAAATAATATTTGTTGGTATTGTTGATGTTGTTGTAGTTATTATTATAATGATTGTTGTTGTTAAACAACATGACCACACGTGCCAGGATTTTGTGTTAAAGATTTTGTTTGTGTTTAACCAGTTAATACAAAAAAACATTATGTCGCCAGGGGAAATAATATTAAGAAGAGATTATTTTATTTATATGTTTTATTTATTTATAGGCGAAAAATTTTCCATTATCCAGGTTGTTTATACACAAACACACACGCATGCACGCATATATTTTTGTATAATTTTGCGTATTTTAATAATCAGTTTGTTTTTTTGTTGTGAAAATTCATTGGTTTTAATGCGGTTCAAGTTGGCGTTTTTTGTTGTTGTTTGTTTAATTATAATTATAGTAGATGTAGATTTTCCATTTTTTTTGTTGTTGTTGTTTTATTTGTATTTGGTTTATTTTTCGACCATTGTTTACATTGTATTAATTGTCCACATTTATTAATAAAAACATACACCAGCCAACACATGCATACAGTTATTAAACAACCAAAGGATAATATAAACATAAATATACACACATACAAACATGTGTATAAATCCCCAATTATAGCCAGGTATGCATAAACATACATAAAGGTTTTTGTTGTTTTGTAGTTGCGGTTTTATATGTGTTTTAAACATAAATGCATAAAGGAGTTATCGTTGCCGTATGCCAAATGTTTGCGGAGACATTAAACATTAAACCATTTCCGTTGCGGTCAGGAAAGTATATTTGAGAATATGCCGAAAAAGAAACACAGGAAGAAAAAAAGAGAGAAAAAACAGAAAAATTCATTAAAGATTTAGTATATAAATATTTGTTATTAACATGTCAAATAAATTAAGTTTGTTTATACATATACATAAGTATTTATTTATAGTTAAATAATAATGTTTATATATTTACACTAGCAAAACATTGTATTTAGTTTATATATGATTAATGAGTACTAAACATACATACAAACATATGCACATATGTAAAAGTACATATTTACTTATGTATTTATACAGTGAGTAATATAACTAAAGATACATTTCAAATCAAGGCAAAAAAACCGGTCAATTTATTGGCATAATATAATTTGTCGCTACAACTTGATATCACAGTGATATTTTGTACAACTGATTAAGAGAATTATACTAATTTAATACATACTTTACCATAAAGTATGATCTTTAAACAATTCTTAATGAAGGAAATAAACCATAGTAAATACATCACTGCGTATGATACATACATATTAAAACCAAAATATTAAGTATACGCACCGTCGAACAATGCAAAGCAACATTGTGCAAAGGGGGTGGTTAAAAATAGCTTTTATTTTTGCAAAAACGATTTTATTGCAGGAATATAATCAAAATGGTGAGAATCTAAGACCTACATTCATATCAACCAATAATTAGCCTTTCTATATAAACTCTACGGTCATGTGGGCATTGTAACCAAGTTTTTTATGCAATATTTTATTTAAGTCCACATTTTGTGGTTAATATCAAATATAACATAAAACCAGTAACTAATCAATATAGCAAATAAGTTAGTTATTTTATGCACATTTAATTATTTTATAAACTGTGGCCACTTTTAGCTTTACTTTTTTATTTATTCAATATACACATAAATTAAATCTTTACTTCTAATACATACAACAGACATATGTTTAGTTTACTATATTTAAGTTACATGGTTGTGTTATATACATATACATGTTTACCTAGCACAAACTAAGGTTAGAATGGTACCAAGTTATGAGAAGAAACAAATCAGAAATTAAAGTTGTCTGCTAAGTAGATTTATTAACTTACGTTCTCATTTTTTAGATGTTAGACAAGACTATGGACCAGGTTATAGATTCGATTGCAGACTACAGAATATTCTATAGATTCAACTAAAGACTATACTATTGACTGAAATATATACTGAACTATAGACCACACTATAGACTTAGCTTTAGACCAGAATATACTAAACTAAACTAAAGGGTATTTTGACTATACAATAGACTTTTGACTGAAATATTGACTACACTATAGACTAGACTATAGACAACACTGAAAACAATAGACTAAACTAGAAACAATAGACTAGACTAGACTATACTGTAAAGTCGACTAGAGATTAGACTAGACTATAGACTAGACTAGACTATAGACTAGACTATAGACTAGACTATAGACTAGACTAGACTGACTATAGACTAGACTATAGACTAGACTATAGACTAGACTATAGACTAGACTATAGACTAGACTATAGACTAGACTATAGACTAGACTATAGACTAGACTATAGACTAGACTATAGACTAGACTATAGACTAGACTATAGACTAGACTATAGACTAGACTATAGACTAGACTATAGACTAGACTATAGACTAGACTATAGACTAGACTATAGACTAGACTATAGACTAGACTATAGACTAGACTATAGACTAGACTATAGACTAGACTATAGACTAGACTATAGACTAGACTATAGACTAGACTATAGACTAGACTATAGACTAGACTATAGACTAGACTATAGACTAGACTATAGACTAGACTATAGACTAGACTATAGACTAGACTATAGACTAGACTATAGACTAGACTATAGACTAGACTATAGACTAGACTATAGACTAGACTATAGACTAGACTATAGACTAGACTATAGACTAGACTATAGACTAGACTATAGACTAGACTATAGACTAGACTATAGACTAGACTATAGACTAGACTATAGACTAGACTATAGACTAGACTATAGACTAGACTATAGACTAGACTATAGACTAGACTATAGACTAGACTATAGACTAGACTATAGACTAGACTATAGACTAGACTATAGACTAGACTAGACTACTATAGACTGGATTATAGACTAGACTATAGGATAGACTATAGACTGGATTATAGACTAGACTATCGACTAGACTATAGACTAGACTATAGACTAGACTGTAGACTAGACTATTGACTATAGACTAGACTAGGCTAGACTAGCTAGACTAGACTATAGACCAGACTATAGACCAGACTATAGACTAAACTATAGACTAGACTTTAGCCTAGACTTTAGACTACGCTATACACTAAAATACACTGAACTATAATTGATACCTTTCCAATTTTGGAAAGGACCGCTGCTCTGTCTTCTAGCAGAAAGAGACTGTTCAGCGTTACCTGTAGTGGCAGCACTTCCAATCGGTGCCCAATTTTGGAAAGGGCAGCTGCACAGGCTTTAGTGGTAATCTCTTCATTTTAAGGATTTGACTCTAGTGTCTTTGTCGGGGCTTGTTGTAGCAGCCCTTGATATCAGCAACTTCACTTTTTTAAAGATAACAGCTCTGGAGGTGAAATAAGTCCCACTTTTGTTCTTGACCAGCGATGGAGTGCTGGTTGATACAAATTATAAGTAGAATTCCTTCAGCTTCTTCCCTTCTGTGAAAGACATCCCATTTTTCCACGGCCAGCACAGTATTTTGGCTTCCAAGAATTTGCAATATGTGCTCGTTAGCCTGTTTACCCCTTTTAGTTAGACAGTGAACTTTGGGACCATAGAAAGATCCCTTTGTGTGTCAGTTCCATCATGTTCTTTACGGTGCCAGTACATTGGTGGGATATCAACCTTATTAACTTCATACCCATGCTCTCTATTAGTTGTTTGCCCTTTGAAGGTCCATTATCTTATTGTCTTCTATCATTCTTTGCTGGTGTTTTGTATTTTTGCTTGTAGGGTTATCGACATCGTATACTGCATACCAGTTATCGTCCTGGTGTCTTCGCTTAGCAGCTTTGGCGTAAAATGGAAGCTCTTTTCTTTATCACCGTCTAGCGTCATCTTCCTCGAGACGCCCTTGTCTTCAAGGTTGATTGTGTTTGCCTTCGGAATATCTGATTTGATTTCACTCTTACTAACAGGATTCTAGCTCGAAGTTCCTTAGAGTGAGGTATAGATTGTCTTCGACTGTTTATTAGAAGACAAGGAGTTCATTTTTTTCTAGAGAAACTTGATACTGAACCTAATTGGGACCAGGTTAATTCTAAAACATGGAAACAATTAACAGCCCGATGTCCCTGTCATTGAAGCACCCTGCAAACGTCATATAAGGATATCCTAAAAAAAGTAAGTTAACTTTAACTTAGCCAAAATATTATAAGAATATCAGGAGAATTGCAAAAGTGGAATTGCTTCTTGAATCTAGTAAACCAGCCCAATAGATAACATATAAATTCAGTGGCCGTGCAAATAATGATAAACGAGGTGTTCCTAGAAATACTAACACACATACATAGTATACTGCTAAACTCATCAGAAGGAATTGCAATTAACAACAGTAAGAGATGTTTCAATATCAAAATATATA